AAGTATAATTAATTAATTTTTTATTATTTTTGTATTTATTATTCTATAAATTAAAAGGATTTTTAATTTAATAGATTTGCAAACTTTATAATGATTGGATAATAAATGAATTCATGAATTAACTCCATCTGGACGTATTAAAAAACCTTCATATTCTTTAGTATATTTATGGATAAAAGATGCATGGGAAAAAATTGATACAAATTTAATTCGTAGATCATTCAAATGTTGTGGCATTTCAGTTAAAACTGATGGTTCCAAAGATGATATGATTTTTAACTATGATAGTCTTATAGTAGATAAAGAAAATAAGAAAAATAATGAATTAATTAGAGATAACGAATTTAGAAAGAAAGAATTTAGAGAGGAGGATTACAATAATTGGGATGATATTAACTTTGCTAATGTTTAAATAAATAATAAAGTTTTATTTTTGAATCGATAAAATGTGTATTTGATAAATAAATATCGTAACGGTATATTAATCATATGATTTATTTAATTTTATGACTATTTTTCGACTAAAAAAAATCCCCTATTTAAACCACCTAGGTTTTTTACAAAATTTCAGCCCAAAACCTTAGAAGGGTATTTTGCATAGAGGTGGTTTAGTCAGCACTCTACAGTATATCAGTTTACTATGTAAAACTGCTAATATTACTATTTATTATTCTTCTGACTAACCAAGAAAGTTATTCGTGAATTAATGTCGCTATATCAAAAAAATTTAAAACACAACTATTTCACTACTGCAGTGAACTTAAGATAAAATTAGAAGAAAAAGATCCTAAACTTAAGGTTAGTGAACGTATAGTATATTGCAAATTTAAAACCTTAGATATGTTTCTATTACACTCCCTATCCAAAAGTATTAGACCATCCTGTGAATTACAGATCCGCAGTAATTATATGAGATTTGCACAACTTAGAAAATATTTATTGAAATTTGATTATCGAAATAATCATCATCATCTCTTTTTCCTCCTTTCCGCGCAATTTTTTCTTTAAACATTCTTTAATATGCCCAAAAAAAAAGAGCTTACAATTATTGAACGTGAAATCATTATTGGTTTACATAAAGCAGGTGAATCTGAGAGAGCTATATCTAAAAAAACAGGTCACTCAAAGACAGCTA